TATATATATATATATATATAAATCGTTTTTTTTTAATTTAGTTTGTTTCAATGTCTAAAAAAAAATACTGTTTGAGAATTTTGGAGGGTATAATTCACAATTTTTTTAGATTCACTACGATTCCAAAAATACCAACCCACCCCTAGTTAACATGCTAAAAAAATGGTAAGAAAAATAATGTTTCTGTTTTGTAATAATGTATGAAAATATAAATGTCAATGCCTTGGTAAACAATTAACAGAAGATTATGGAGTCAACTAACATGTTTTAAGGTAAACATATTTATCTAAAGTCTAAACCCCCATCCTCATTAATGAAAATATGTGAACGGAATTTAGCTTATATATGATTTTCGCAATATTTTATTGAACAAATATCAATAAAAAAACTGTTTTTATTCTTTATGCTTTATATTTTACAAATAAAAAATATATACAATTACAAAATCACTCAATCACTGTACTACGAAAATTAATTTCAATCATTTAAAGTACTTTTTTTTTTTACTTTAACAAAAAAAATATTTTTTTAAATCAGCCGTGAAAATAAGCATGGAATGTATTAGTTATATATGTGTGTGGTGGAAGAAAATTGGAGTTTGATAAAATCTGCATGTGCATGGGCATGTGCATGTGGAATGTGACAGTCTGGTGCTTAACCACAAAACCGTGTTCGAATTGATAAGATTTCTCGACCCCTTTTTTTTTTGGGTTGAGGGGTCGGTCCAAAATATTATATTTCTTTATTTTAGAATATGCAACAAAGGCAAAACGCGTAAAAAAAATAATAATAAATCAATGGTTTTTTGCATAATAAGAAGAAACCATGAATGACAAAAAAAAACTAATGTTAAGTGGAACACATACTCTGTCAAAAGCTGCAGCTTTGAAGCATCCATCATCACATTCTGCTCTTCCTTCTTGCCCTTCTTCTTAACATTCGCCATTACAGATTCTGAATCCACACTCCACCCTTCCTTCATTACATCTGTACAGTCCATGAAAAACCCATTTGTAAAATATACATATACATATACATACACTCCTTATACCGGTATCCATAAATTTCGGACATATGACTGAACTTACTGAAAAATATAAGAACTGATGCAAGATGAGGGAGTTATGTATGGAAGCTTAGGGAAACAGAAGATGGAATGGAAGCTCACATGTCGCAGGCATCGGCCTCTGTCATTCCTAGGGACAGTGCCATATCGCGGATTGTGATAGACGAGTAAGCAGACGACAAGAGCTGAAACATCTTTCTGGTGTAAATATCTGCAGCCAAAAAAAAAACACCCCACGAATAATGTTTTCCTGCGAGTAACTCCTAGGGGGTAGAGACCCGTGTGTTTTCGGGTATCCTGTCTCACAGGTACTCAGGAAAGAACGAAATTGACACCGGGTTCGACCAGACGAGAAACCCGGAAGTAGGGTCGGGAAGAGTTATATTAAAATGACTAAAATACCCCTGATTTTCTAGGTATTTACAAAAACACCTAGACATATTTTCATATATATTTATCTACATACCTCAACAGAATTTCATAAATTTTCACGGGTTTGGTAGCCAGGTCTCGGTCTCATACGTACCCGAGTCTCGCGAGACCGAGACAGGGACAATGCCTCCAGAAAACCAGCGAGATCAAGACCGAGACAAGGTACCCAAAAAGTCCAGGTACCCAACCTGCACCGACCCTAGTAATTACTAGATCTGGACGGATGGTGTCTCAATACTCAACAATATCTCTGGGAAAAATCAGCTAAAATTCCAACCATCTAACTGATAAGAACTACAACTCAACCGTCTAGTGTTAATTCACTCTTCAGTTTAGTAAATGCATAGACGACTACTGCCTATATAAACTCAAAAGTTGTAAGCAACTGCTTGTTCCCAAGTTTGCGACAAAAATTTTCCCAATTGCTAGTTACCCGTTAAATGAAATACATTACCTGAGAATGCAACAACAATATCTTTAGCTTCCGGACTCCAATCATAACCACGAACATCTTCATATACACCTGCATAATCATGTCTCCACAGCTTCTGACCAATATTCCAAGCTGCGACTAGTTCGGGTCTGCTTTCTTTGATGTTCCTAGGTAACGTTTTCCAGAGGAAACGGGCACTATTGCTGCAACAAATACATTCAGTACTCAACCTGTATTCTCAGCTTCAAGATACTATTCTCAACTTCAGGAAACGATTAGACCAAAGCCATTAAAGAAGATTGGCTGTACCCTAAGCTGATAGAATTCATAAACTGAGTGAAGCTCTAATTTCTCGAGTACATTACAGGGTGATACTCGATCATGGCGGAAACAACAATATCGGAAGATTCTAATTTTCTTGAGTACGCAAGACCATATCAGAAGATTCTACAAAAATTGTGACGAAAACACATTTCCTAATTCCATGTACCAATAAAAAATCAGTCGCCTTTCCAAAAAAAAAGCCCATATTCCATTGGAATCCTATTCCTAGTCAACGATATACAGTACGATTTCGAAGCCCTAAAACCCCCCCCCCCCCGGGAATTCAAACGACACGACGTAATCAAAGAAGAAATCAAACTTACATATCTTCGGTATAAGTGTGACCAAGGAGATGGATTGCGTAAGGCCATTCTTCGTGATAAGGGATTCCTCCAGCAGCGACCTGATCGGGACACGAGAACAAAGATGAAGAACGAAACGATGACGACATAGGAGCATCTTCGAAGCCAAAGAACAAGGAGAAGAAGATGAATTCATGAAACCTGAATCAGAAAGTTATCGCAGAGATCGGCGATTCTCTGATCGAAAAGAGGTCCATGGCTCTCTCTGTTCTTTGCTCCGTGAAGTGAACTGAGACGACGCTTTTATTTTTCTACCCTCGTATTTTTTTCATATTTCGATTTAAACCATGAAACTTTAAAAACCTTTCACATTCGCCAGAAATAATATTTTTTAATATTTTGTTCCCAAATCGAGGCCCACCCTTAACATTATGCATAAACGGGCCAAGCCCACACATGCTCTGTGGGTCCCATCTTATTTTCGCCGTCCTGTTTCGCGCCAAAAAAAAATCCCAGGAAAACGACAGAAAAACGAGAAAATATGAATGTCAGTGCCCCAAGATAGGAATCGATACGAAGAATCTAATCTTCATTTCCCATTGCTTATTTTACAAAATTCTTGCATATATCATGTTGGGTCTCTGGAAAGGTTGCAACTTTCGGCTTCTGTTCTCTTTTCACCATTCCGACAAGAAATCTGTTGTCGACATGAACAGGTCTGCTCCAGGTTCTGCGAATTACAGAAGATTGCTTTCCTACCCTCATGGATATTCCAGAAGATTTCTTCTGGATGATTCGGCGTAGTGATTTTCCATTCATGTGATTGTAAACTTTTGTGATATGAGAGTTTATAATCGTTTAAATGGAAGAGAAGTGTAAAACCTATCTCGGTGAGTATAGTACCGAGAAAGAAGAAGAAGACAATGAGAATGGAAAAATTACTCTCTTGATTCATTTACAAAATATTGTACAAAATATATAGAAGGTCTAGAAATAAAAAAAAGGAAAATATCTAATTACAAATAAAAAAAATCTCCATAATACAAATAAAGGAAATAAATAAACGTTGGCATGAAATTACGTCCACCAAATCAGCTTGTGTATCACCACAAATTAGGCCATTCATCATGTCATCATACACTTCAACATTCTCCCTCAAGATGATTTGTAGAGAATCGAAAAATCAATCTTGAAAGCGGGAATTACTTGAACCTCTTTTTTTTTTGTGTTTTTCCAATTCCGCCATTGTTTGACAACAATGAACATTGTTCTTTGAGCATCCTTCTTGTCATAGCATCCATGGTTTTTCTTGATAAATTGTTCCAGTATTTTCCAAAGTGGTTCCTTTGTGTTTGAATCCTGCAAACCAATAAAATTAACGTAAGTTTTATATTCGAATGAGTACAAAGACTTACCTTTGATTCCACAGCAAATGGTTTTCACTTCCCCATCATTTGAAGCGTCTTTGTACACTTCTTTGGGTAAAAACTTTGTTGTGTTCTCTCTTATCATCTCACGAGTGTTAGGAGCATCGGTTAATAAGAGAAAAGTAAGAGTTTCTCTCTTATTTGAATGATCATAATCCTTTCGATCTCGGTTCTTTGTCTCCGTTTGAATACTACTCATCGTCTCTTCTCTCCCGGCCTTTTACTCCAGTCAACAAATCATTCGCTTCCAATGTCACCAAGTGTTGTTGCTCTTTGTGGATCTCCACTTTTGTTTGAGTTTCCTGTCCATCATCACTCTCACAGACATAATCGTTTAAAGAGCATAAAGGAGTTAAGTGAATGGACCGAATGAAGGGATTTTGTTTTGGCAGTAGCACATTCTCCTTGGATGCTTCGTCATGGGAGTTCCTTGTGTCCTCTTTGAAGCCATCTTCTAAGGTAGTTTGCTCAGCCTTTTTCTTTTCTACCCCTTCGTCCTTCTTTCCTAAACCTTCTTCTTTTGTTTCTCCATTCACCATGCCAAATGAATCCAAACATTCCCCCTCATTTGGCATCGGACTAGGCTTCATGTGTTGTATGAAGAATTCACGAACCGCTTTATCCGTGAGTTCATGTTCTGTTTCCCCCATGTTTGGGGCAATGTTTCCCCTTGAAAGCCGCTCTTTATGCCACATCATGCGTGCTTCTTTGAACGGATGGTAAAGAAGTTGATGATAAAATTTGAAGGATGAGATTATTGTACTCACCCGGAAGAAATCCAAGAAAATTGAATAATAACCTCTTTTGTAGATTCAAATCCGGATGAATCTTCTCGAGTTCATCCATCACTTGATCGTGGGCATGGTCCCTTTCTTCTTTGGTTGTTTGAGGCCATGTATCATTGATGATTCGGAATTTTCGAATATACTCGAAAGTGACGATTGTATTGAAGTCTTCTTGAGACAAATAATGAGCCATTACAATACTCTCCTCTTTAGATCTATATGTGACCAAATGGGATATACATAATATATGTTAAGTAGCGGAAGCAAATAAAAAATAGGTTACCATGACTCTTGAGGCTCTGATACCATGTAAACTTTTGTGATATGAGAGTTTATAATCGTTTAAATGGAAGAGAAGTGTAAAACCTATCTCGGTGAGTATAGTACCGAGAAAGAAGAAGACAATGAGAATGGAAAAATTACTCTCTTGATTCATTTACAAAATATTGTACAAAATATATAGAAGGTCTAGAGATAAAAAAAAGGAAAATATCTAATTACAAATAAAGGAAATCTCCATAATACAAATAAAGGAAATAAATAAACGTTGGCATGAAATTACGTCCACCAAATCAGCTTGTGTATCACCACAAATTAGGCCATCCATCATGTCATCATACACTTCAACAGTGATTACGTGAATCCTATGGTTTTTATCTGGATTTAGTGTTAGATCGTATTGAAATGAAACAACACTGTCAGGCTGTAATAGGGATGATACAAGAGGGGCAGCCTCTTGAATTGTCTGACCCTCACAAGTGAAGCATGTCAATCCCAGATACTTGAATGGAATTCAGAAATTCCATTTCAGGATTTGGGGTCAGAGATCATAAAAGCTGGAAGATGATAATAATGCAGAGCAAAGAGAAGCAAGTGGTTTGGATTCAAAGGCAGATTCAGGATCAACTGCTCTTCTTGTTCATTTTGCATGGAGAATGGGCGTTTGAATTCTCAATGAACCAGTTCCAAGGCGCCGAAGAAATGGTTTTTGGATCTAGTTGGTAATCCATCCAAGGGATGTGCAGGAGAATCGTGCTTCAGCTGATCATGCCGTTTGACAACTAAACCTATTATTCATTCCTTCTCCATCTTCTTTCAAAACCAATCAATGGCCGAGGGTTAGATTTGCTCTTTACATTCAAGAAAAGAAGGTTCCACCTAACAAATTGAAGGAGGTTGGAGAAAACAGGATAGCACGGCTTCTGTTCTTTTTTCATTTTGGGTTTTGAATATATTAGCTGTCCTTTCTTTATCTCCAGTAGCATGTTGCTGTTTTACCAGTTCCATGTGATCATTATTTACATCAATCTTCAAATCAGCTTCTTGGTCATAAACTTCAAAGCAGATCTCATGTGACTTTTAGCAAATTGCAGACATAACCGAGGTGCAGCTACACGTGTAAAAGTTGTGCAGAGAGTTTATGTTTTTACATGAATCTGCTTGTGTTCTTGTCCCCTTGAGGAGATGTGATTCATTTTGTGTACAGAGCTGGAAATACTTGCCCCTTTCTGAGCTAAAGCCTGAAGCTTTTTTCACTACAATGAACACTTAAACTGGAAAAAAAGTTTATTGATTGGAGATCTGATATACAGAGGGAGGTCATAGGACAAACCAAACTAAAGAAAGAGCATAACAAATGAAGAAATCAAATTATTCCACCATGATGGCAAACACATCAACCACAACATCCTCGGACTTTGATCAGAGTCTGGAGCTCCTGCACTCTGGAGGGAAACCCTGAGGGAATCTCTTCAGATCAGCACAGTAGTTATAGATCATGAAATACCTTTGGACCCATCTAAGTCTTCTTCTTCCAAAGGCATTGAGCTCATTGCCCACCTGCCAATCACCATTGGTGAAGGAGCTCTTGAACTTGGGGTCACAGAAGGAGGAACCAGATGAGACAGTGCAAGCCGCTGCGTTGAAGTTCCTGTAGTAAGCCGTGAATGGAGCCTTGGACCAGTCAGTCTTAACCAGACCGCCCCTTGTGGCCCAGTCGTCTGCGTTCCAGAGACTCGAGTAGATCCTCATGGGCTGGCTCTTGGGGAAAGGAACACCCAACTGTTCTGCGTTCTTGAACACTCTGATCGGCACACTGTCAACCAAGAAACTGCAACACAAATAGCACAAAACAAACGATTCAGATCATATGAATCATTTGGGAAGCTAAGATTGGTTCAGTTTGTTCTTTCTTACATGATGTGTTGGGGTCTCCAGACAATGGAGTAGGTGTGGAAGTTCTTGGTGGGGTCGAACCAGAGATAGAACTGTTGTTCTCTGTTGCCTTTGCCTTGTGTGAACACATTCGTGTGAAGAACATAAGGTTGTCCTGTTTCATTCCCCAGAAACTCGAAGTCTATCTCATCGTGTGTTGGTCCTTGCGACGACAACTGCAATTTGCTCAATCGTTATAACAAAATCCCTTCTAAAAAACTGTATTTTTTTTTTCTTCTGAAACTTTCCACCAGTCAAATCACTTTCTAGCCTTCTGGGTTCATAAACCTCACTGTTGCTAACGATCATTTAACAGAGAAAAACCATCAAGAGCATTTTCAGACCGAGAAATCGCAAGAATCCCATCTTTTTTCACAATATTACCCCAAACCCAGAAAAAAAAAACATCTTCAAGAGCAGTTTTCAAACCCGGGAATCGCAAAAGCCGATGTCTTTTCTCGGCATTACCCTAAACCCAGCAGAGAAAAAAACAAGTCTTTTCAGTGAAGTGAGCGAGAGTGTGAGGAGAAAACAACGTACGTAGTAGGCGGTGACGGTTCCGGCGGAGTTCCCGGCGACGAGCTTGAGCTGCATATCGATCCTTCCGAACAGGTACTCCTTCTTGGACTGAAAACCCGACCCGGAAACCCGATCCAGACCCAGAGACAGCATTCTGCCTCCTCCGAAGATTTTCCCGCGATTTCCTCCCCACGTAAGATCGAACTCGTCGTAGAAGTTTGCGGAAAACGCCGACGCAACCATCGTCGCGAGGAGAGCCACGACCAAGGTGGCCGTTCTGTAGTTCAGGAGTCGTCCCATTTTGGGTTCGAGTGACAAAATGAAAGTTCTGCGGTTGTTTTGCGAGAATGAGAAAGGAGAGAGGTTTCTTTGGAATTATTTATTGGTTTGGTTGAGGACTGAGGAGTAGTGTGAGATGGGTTTTACAAGGGGATATGATATGTATATATATAGGTCGTGAGGGAGGCTTGGGAGGGCAAAGAAATTGAACTATTTTAGTAATTTTGGTTTGGTAATACAAATCGAATTAAATAAATCTAATTTAAAAATAACTGAAACTTTTAAAACTAAATTAATTGAATTCGAATAAAATATAAAATTTTAATTGGTTGATATATAAAACAGACATAGTTCTTCTATAATCCAAAAAAAATTAAACTAAAAAACAAGCTAAAGGAAATTCAAAACAACTATATTAATGGTTTCATTGTTTTCGAAATTAATAAAAATAAATAAATAAATGAAAGCTGTATAGAAAAGAAGAAAACAAAAGAGGGATGCATTCAAATACCAATGGAGTGGAGGGAGCTGTTGCCAGCTCTGCTTCTCCCATGATTCCATCAAACCCCGGAGCCTCTTGTTTTTTCTTTTTCTATTTTTTTTTTCAAGTATTAATTATTATTATTATTTGTTTTTTCCAATATATTTATAAATAAATACTCTTTGGACTAACGGATAACGGGGATTTGTGATATATAGTATCAAAGTATAAGACTATATATGTATGGCATAGTATTCATTAAATCATTTATATTGCCAAAACACAACAAATTTTTTATATTAAAAAAATATGAAAAGGTTAGTTTGTATAGCTCTTTAAATATTACTTATTCGGATGCATCTATTTTATAATAAGAAATGAAAATTTTAGTGAAAAAACTATATCCTCTATTTAAATTCATTAAACCATGCGTAAATAGTACATAACCCATTATTTCACTTTATTTTTTTAAAATCAGAAATTATAGGAGGAAAATGACAAAAGCATTACTTTTTTTTTTTGGTATTTATTATTTTGAGAGATTTTTAAAAAAAAAAGGGGGAATGGGGAAGAGGTGGATGACAAGCTGGCATGAGATGGCCACTCTTTGTACTTGAAAGTTCCCAAAGGACCACTCCTATTTATCTCCCTTTATGTTTCTCCCTTATCCAATCAATTATTGCCACGCGTGAAATTAATATGGATTTTGGAATGATTTGTGGAATCTATGAAAATGAATTTGGACAAGTATGTCGAGGTTTTTTATGTCTTTGAATTAAAATTCAAAAATAATTTGAATTTGTAGAATTTTAAAAAAATGTATTAGAAGATTTGGATGTGTTGTAAATTTCGAAGTATATGATGCAAAACCGAATTGAGTGAAAAAAAAATTCATGCAGTCGAATCCAAATAAATTTGAAATTAAGCTAATAATAGTTGGAACAGTACAAAATCAAATAATTCTTTCATCGATATAACAATAAAATTGTTGGACATTGCGATTTTTATAACTGTTAAATATAATCATATTTAATTAGGTGGGGATTTGTAAATTCCTAATTGGTTCAGTGTCAACATAATCAATGCTTAACCTCTTAAAGCATGGGTGGAATTCTTTTAATGATATAATATAATAATAATATTATTGAACACGAGTTCGTATTGAATCTGAGTTATTACTGTTAGAAATAATCGGAATAAATAGTTAGAATGAAATCAATTTACACTTTTTTTTAGTTGTTAAATATTTTTTTAATAATTGGGAATTTGTAATTTTTAATTGGTAAAAATAAAAAAGATTCGTATATTTGGTATTAACGGACGAATAATCCTCGTATTGATCAATTAGGTGGATGTCATCTGCTCTTCACAAGGGAATATATTCCGATACCTTTGAGTAATTGATTTATCTTATTTTGTAATAATATTGTTCTTATAATTATTGCAAGTGGGTGCTTCTGCAATGATACTCTTTTGGCTCTTTATTAATTCGTTTTATTAGCCATAATAACGAGTTTAAAGCTGCTTAATTATCATTATTAGCTTCGATCTGATTGCTCATTATTCACGCCCATTTACATATATATATATATATATACAAGTATAATATTTTTACAAAGTTTTTTTTTTATAATATGTGATTTGCCTAGAGTAAGGTTCAAATCTGGGTGGAACATTTTTTACGCATATCCACTTACCAGTTGAGCCAACCACCCTTGGCATTTTTAAAAAGTTAGATTGATCTGAATTCCATCTTTTTATTTTAATATTCGTCTTCTATATATTTTTTTTTAATTTTTTTAGGTTTTAATTCTTATTTCTATAAGAAAATGTTATTTGATATTGATAACTTCAAAATACATCATAATATATAACAAAATATAATAAAATATACTACATATATCTCGGATAAATCATAACTATATTAATGATAATATCTCCTATAATTTCTACCCTCTTTCAAATTCAATATTTTTTATATTTATATTTCTACCGTAAATGATGATAATTTTTATTTTAAGTTTTTGTTTTATTTTTTATTTTGAATTTTAACTATTGGTTTTTTGTTTTTTTAGTATTTGTAAATTAAAAAAAATGATTCTTTTAGCTTTTCATTAATTTGTTCACGAAAATAGTTTTTCAATTTATTTTAGAAACAACTAAATTTACAAAATCTTTATTACCCTATTTAACCAATTAAGGCTCATTACCAAAGTGTTGATGAAATTAAAGGGAACGTCCTCACATCACATAGAGTGGTTGGTTTTGTTCATATTAAATAAATAAATAAAAAAAGGTCACGAGAAGCACTATTTCATGAAATAGACGTCCCGTCACGTTTTTCAAATTGTAAAAATAGACAACTTTCATTCGGCCGTAATGATAATAATAATTATTTTTTTTCAAAGACGTGGTAATAATTATTCACAAAAAGCCATTATGTTTTTCACTCGTAATGAATAAAATAAAACTATACGTGATAATTGAGTTTTAAATATTAAATCAAAATAAAAATATTTATATGATTCATTCGAGACTATATATAATTCACGAACCCAACCACATCCAACGACGCTTCAACACATGAAAGCTTTAAATATAGACAAGTTTATTATACAATTTTGTTAAATCGTCTATTTTTTTTTTCTTTCAAAAGTTGAATGTGTAAATATTTGTCAAGATCTATAAATTTTAATATAGTTACATAAATATTTGGCGGTAACAAAAAAATAAAAATCTATTTGTTATACTACAAACACGGTTTATATTTACAGATCAAGATCCGACACAAAGTCCAATTAAATCTTGGACTCCATAAAATTATATTTTGAAGCATGCAACGTAGATCCTTATCCATATGACAGCTAAAATATTTATATGAAACTATTATTCTCTGTATTTCGTACAATACATGAAACTACATTCGCTCATATATATATATATAATATAATATATGACTATATAGGACAAGTGATTGGGTTTAAATATCAAAACAATTAAATCTTATGCTTTTACCCATGTCGATTATAAACACATCTTATAATCACTTAATCTCTTCAAATTCAATATATAACTTAGTAAAATATTATTTATTGAATTTAATGTTAGTATAAAAAAAATGCATAGATACATGCATATGTTGTATACACGTACAATCCGATGGCACCGCCATCGTATATAATTCAACTTGTGACCATAATATATATATATATATATATATATATATATATATACACACACACATTAAATGTTGCATTAGTTAATACGATGGATAGAAATATTTTTTAAAAAAAATTAACGACCGCTGAAATTGTTTTTTTGTCTGGTTGTGTGTGCGTTTAATGTTGGTATTGAAAGGGGCAACGCATTTTGGTGATTTTAAAATTTGATCGCAGATAAATTAAATGAGAAATGGATAGGTGTGTGTGTGGTCCGACCAACCAAAATAAAAAAGGAAAAAAAATTTAAATTTAAATTCAAAGTCACATAACGGGAGCTCCGGACTGTGGTAATAATGGTCACGAGGACAATGCCACGTCATTTCAAACTTGAAGGACATTGCAACAAATCCATGGAATTTGGAATCGACACGTCATCTCACCTCCCCACAATTATATGAATTATAGTACTCGTCTGACGTGACAATTTTACTATATATATAATTTATTTAAAGTTTTCATTCAAAAGTTCTCTCGATATCCCGATTAGAATAAAATTATTAAAAAATATATTTTTTATTATTTAGGAAATAGTATATATTTTGGTTTTGATATGAAATTAACTGATATAATATTCAATTTTCATAGGATATGAATATTTTTATTTTTAATAGCTAAAGAGATTATAACAAACTCAAAACTAATGGAATGGGATTCCTAATTAGAGAATCTACTTTCCATTGTATTCAACACACATATGCTTTTAGCCTTTAGGTGTTATAATAATTATAATAATATTACGCTTCCCTTCTTGGAAGCAATTAAATTGATAAAAAAAATGAAATGAGAGAATGGCATTATAATTTATAATATATGCTCCCTTCTTAGAAGCAACTAAATTGATAAATGCAAAAGGAAAATGGAACGGTTCCATTATGTTCGAACAATTAATTAATAAATTAAATAATAATAATACTAATACTATAATACGTTGGATGGGCTTTCCAACCGCCAAAATCGCGTCGGCGCGGTGGGACCGCAGCCGCCGCGGTTGGTGCCATTGCTTGCCCCCACCGCTAAATTAGCTTTAATTCACCGTTGCCCCGTGATCCTTCTTGTTCGTATTATATATATATATATTTTTAAAACGTGTCTTTATATATATGCATATATATATATATATATATGTACATATACCACATTTATTATAATCATTACCAACGCTAGACCGAAATTTCATTATTTTAGCATGAATTATTCATTATTTGCATAAAAAATAACACACCCATTTAAGCATTTCCCCCCATGTTTCAAAAACATCTAAAACAGCAAAACACAACTAAGAGACAAACGATGAAAACATCATATGAGATAAGATTTATTACTTAGCTTCTTGATTTGCTTTCGGTTGGCCTCGGGATTTTCTTGTACTCGTACTCGTTTATGTCCAGCTTCTCTTGCAAAGCCTGAGAACAAAACCAGATGAATGTTTTTTCCCCCCTTAGAGATTTTATTAAGCTGTATGTACATTATGGTATCCCATTCATTATGGACCGATACCTCGAGCTCTTCCTCTATCGATATCTTTTTAGGTTTATACGCATCGACCGGTCCCGTTCTTGAAAGCGCTTTCCTTTCCTCTATGATCTCCCATTCTTGATCATCCTTCACCTTTGCAATGTCCTTGCTGAACTTGAACCGATTCAGCAGCAAGTGTGAGTGAGTTTTTTTTTTAAAATGAAAATCCAACGCATATGCAACAGCTTTCCCGAGTCCTTACCGATAAAGTCGTGAAAGAATCGAATTCAGTTTTGTTAGGAGATTGATCACACAAGAGAAGAAGGGGTACAAACCTGCCTTGCAGGAGTTGGCTGAGCCCGACTGCTCCAAAAACGGTGAGAGATATCATCGGAAGCCCGTATCTTACAAATGGATGTCTCCTACCCCATCTTTTAAATGACGATGACGGTCCTCGAGGCTTGGACGCAGCAGTAGTGGCAGAACTTTGAGATTTTCCGGCAGTTTCTATTGTTGTCATCTTTGTATATCCCTACACCGAAAGGGCAGCGAAAGAACAGAAGAAATTCAAGAAATTTACACCTGTCGTAGTTCAAGCGAGGTTAGATTAGCGTCAAACCAAAACCCGAGAGCAGCTTGTGGAAGAATGAATTATTACGTTTTCCTATTCAATGATGCAGAAGAAAAGCTTCATGCTTATCAAGATTACTGAAAAACAAGGTCAAAAGTCACTGAATATCTCTACAGTTCCAAGACGAATGGCGAAAATTGCAAACCTGGCTTTGGTTTCGGCATGGATATTAGGGCTAGGAATGGGGCAGCTATTCGAATTTGTTAAGACATGATTCACATTCCCTATGATACTGATCTATGCAACCAGAAATGTAGCATTATGGATATTCAAACGAAGTCTAAACACCCCACAGTGTCAGTCACTGAATTCGAACAGCTAATCCAACTCACCATATACAAGTTTCATTCATTTTTCTTAAACCTCAATCTTCTGCAGCAACTAAAAGCATCTAAATAATCTTCTCATAGATTTGTTCGAAATATAAGGCTCGAAACATATGATTAGATAAGAGTTCATGCATATCTTTTCTTTTCATGAACAAACAAGAACATAGCCCTTTTTATTCTTAAATTCATTATTCAACATAGTATCCAGCAACAAAAACCAGTGTATTTCCCAGTTTCCTGCATCTACTTAACACCCCCAAATGTTGGGACAATCAATTCAATCAAATGCAAACAATCTGTGTTTTGGGTTTGATACTAAAACCAAAATACATAATGCAGGATCGAATTAGAACATATACCCAACATGAACACAGAATGAAACCACTATGTAAGTAAAAAAAAAACTAGACAAGCACCTCTCATTCTCTAAACCCTAAATCAAGTTACGAACTTTTGAAGAACTGAATTAGTTTCTCTGTGGAAGAATCTGACCCATGATTAGATAAGAGGAATCTGACAACAAATGAAACTACTTTCCGGATCGTATAAACGGATTAGAACATTATCATCTCCTGCGACGGAGACGGTCACCGGAATATAAAAAACCCCGAAATCCCAATCGCTGAAGGAGGAGAAGAAGCATACCGGAGTTTCAAACGGAATCGGCGGCGGAGGTGGAGGAACTCCGTTCACCGAGGCGGAGGTACGATGTTGACCGGCGGCGAAGACGATGTCGGGGATCGATCGTAGTGGGAGTTAAGGTGACGTAACATTGTCTTGATCAACTCTATCGGTTTATGGGCCCACACAAATATCTAGAATCCATGTAGGGACCATGGGCTTTCAAGAATTTAAAAAAGGCCTAAATACAGGCCCATTTCTAAACAGATAAATATAATTTAGCCCATTGGGTATTTTAGGCCCATAATTTCAGCTCTGTTTCCGCTGTTCCAGTGAAAATACACGTGGAAGATTTTGATTGGCTAACTCAGTTAACCGCAACAGCGGATAATTTTCTACAACCCCTCTCGTCTTTCCCCAAAGCCCTTTCCTTTGCCTCCCTTCTTCCTCGTGTGAAGTCCGAAGCCAATTTCCCGAGAAAATGGATTCGAACATTTTCCCACCATCCAAACGACAAATACAACCGAACAATTTCCAAGCCTTCTCAAGTATCCAGTCTCACTGCTCTAACCTACTCCACAACGTCTCCAAAACCCTTAATCCTCTCTTCAACCCCGAAAAAAACCTTTCTTCGGAGCCCAACAACATCTTCTCTGCTCTCGATTCACTGCGAAACCTCACTAAACAAGCATTCGATGCCGGGATTTCCCGCCTCAACCCCGTCTCCGGCTCCCATAACGCCGCCGTCTGGGCGAGAATCACGGACGGCGGTGGGAAATCTCTGGTGGCTCCGATTCGGCGGAGCGGCGGCGGAGCTCCTGGACTGTCCGCCGATGCGATCGAGGAGAGAATGGCCGGAGTTCCCGTGTACGCCCTGAGCAACTCAAACGAAGAATTCGTGTTGGTGTCGGGAGCTTCCACTGGGAAATCCATGGGTTTTTTGTTCTGCAGAGAAGAAGATGCAGAAGCGCTTCTTCGGGAGATGAAGAGTATGAATCCTGGTATGAGGAAAGAAGGGTCGAAGGTCGTTCCTCTTGCTCTGAGCAAAGTGGGTATTTCAATTCAAATCCATGACCTCTTCTCTTGCTTGAATTTCATGCTCTCTGTATCAGACTTGGCATAGATGGTTATGGTTTCAGTGGTTTTGGCCTGTGATTCTTTGGTGTTCTTGCAGGTTTTTCAGTTAAAGGTCAATGGAGTGGCCTTTAGATTGATCCCGGAATCGACTCAAGTCACTCATGCCGTGAAGGTGAGTTCTTTTGCCAGTTAGTCCATGGTGTTTTCTCCTTGCATGAAAGAGACAGAAACCCATAGGAACATGTTTGGTTAAAGACTAGGTATAGGAAGAACGGATCTGATTTGGACACTCTCTTTTGTTTCTAGATAATGCCAATATCAGTTTCGGCCTATCTTGCTTACGTTATTGATCGTCGAAGCTGAAAGATCCACTTGTCTATATCGACCATTGCAGCTAATTAGGAGCCAACATTATCATCAGAGAAATGATCTCTACCACTTTGTATGTATATGAGCACATGAAATGAATGGGAGATCTGAGATTATATTATATCGTAGAGGTATTATCCCTATTTAGTCGCGAAGCAATATGAGAGAGTCCATGTTACATGAATGAATGAATGATGAGTATATGTTAACAACCTGTTCTTGTGAATCAATGTCGTGTTGAGAGATTGGCGTATAGTTTTTGGCTGTGCATTTGGTGCAGAAGTCTCTAAATGTAAGAACTTGGATGAATGGGCTGTTTATATTCAATCAAAACCATATAATGTTAGTATACATCATTACAGTTCTTTCCAATATTATAGTTCTTATGGACATTGTTCATGCCCTTGTTTATACATGTTCAACACCTGTTATGCAATGCAGGAGAGGAAAAAAGCCGGATTCCCTGACGACGACTTTCCGGGTGTTCCAGTTTTCCAGGTAATGTACTAAAGATCATCTCTTTTGTTGCTAATGGATTCGTGTTTATCTCTATCTCCTTATCAATGGTTTCGTATTCGATCATAGTCCTCTTGCAAAGCGTGTCTTGAGAAGATAGGCGGCACCTCATGTTATTTAATTTGATCTCATTTTGAAAGCACGTTCCATAGAAACGAAGTTGCTATTTCATTCAACGTTTCCATAGATGACAAAGCCTTCAAAATGTCGAGTTTTCTTAACCCTGTAAAGTCTTTTCCTTGGCCGTTCAGTCAAGGAGCTTGATACTACGAAGCGAGAACAAGAGTTATCGTCCCGTTTTCTTCAGAAAGGTTAGTCAAAAACATAAACACCACACAACTCTTGCATTCTCATTAGGCATCTCACCCGACCCAACCCACCCGTAGACTGAAAGCTCTGATGCATTATGGCAGGAGGATTTGGAGAAATCGCTACAACGAGCATCCCAACAGCAGAATCGGCTAAACCCTGCTCTCAAACCGGGCGATATTCAGGTACCATTATGATTATATCGCACTTCAGTCATCCTATTGCCTGTTCCCTCTCATCTTGTTCCTTATGTTTTGCTCTGTTTCTCCAATCAGGTTGCAGTTTTCGAAGAGATCCTCAAAGGGATGAAGGTAAAAAAATCCACCGAAATCTTCTTCTTTGTACTTTCGTTTTCGATTCCGGGTTCTTTAGATATCTGTCGGATTTGCATTTCGGCTTCGCGGATCGGATACTGAACTATGCTTCTGCGTGTTCGGTCCAAAAATTCGCAGGAAAAAACAACGTCGAAGTGGGACGACATTGTGTTCATCCCTCCTGGTTTCGAGGTTTCTGCTGATCCAACCCAGCAGTCTGCCTAAGAACACATATCCGTTTAAGACATTTTTGTATCTTTCACTTGACTAGTTAAAAGAGATTTTGTTAATATTGTTTTTAAACCATGTTCAAGGTTTATTAATAGGCTGTAAGAGAATGTTAAAAGCTCCAAGATTTTATCATATAGACGAGGTTAATAAACCGCAGTGATTACAATTTCTGCCTAAAAGAATCTATGGTAATTAATCGCTGCCGTGGAACTCCAAGATAAATGAACGGTTGAGATTGAGTGGCGAAAAAAGGAACGGTGGACATTTTTTTTTCGTTTTAATTTTGTTTGTTTTGAAGCCATTTTCGACCCCCGAACCCCACATCTCTCTCTCTTCTCTCCTCTCTCTCCTCCTTATCCAAATTCCGCCATTGTTGTACCTGTGTTGTCATCTTCACATCATCGTGCCCTTGCCCTGCCGCAACAATGGCGGTATTCGCCGGCTCTACGTTAGGTTCTGTATCTTTCCTCTCTCACCTTTTTGACCCTCACGCTTCGTCTCTCTCCTTCCCTCTCAGACTCTTCTCTTCCTCGTCCTCCACTTCTTCTTCTTCTTCCCACGTAAATCACTCCCTCTGCGTCTCCAAGTCCTTCTCTGGTTCCGCCACCGCAGAGACAGACAGGAATTCCGACCAATCCTCCGTCTCCGGTTCCGATTTTGGTCTCCTGGATTCCTCCGGTGGTGTCCGACATGATCAGGTGCGTTTTCCAGTTCAAAGTTTCAAATTTTTTAACACAGTAGAATTCTTGGGTATTATTCGTTCAGCCTCTAATTTGTAATCTGATTAATGTGTTGGAAAAGAAGCAGAAGTCTGCCGAGTGGGAAGCAGCGAGGGCTTACTGCGAGAATGGAGACGTCTTCGAAGGTCGAGTCGAAGGCTTTAATGGCGGAGGACTGCTTGTTTGGTTCTATTCTCTTGTGGGTTTTGTTCCTTATCCGCAGCTGAGTCCTTCTCGTTCTTGTAAAGGTAGTAACATTCATTAAAAACCATTTCTTTTCTTGATGTTGTAGCTTGGGGTTGGCAAAGGAAATTTCTTTGTATTCATGTATCTATAGATGGTTATGCAATATGTTTCCCGCCATTGAAATCTTTGTTTCCCTTGTTTCTTGTGAAACGAGCTGATGATTGTGTTTTTGAACATTGTCCTTGCATGAAGAACCTCACAAAAGCATCCAAGAGATTGCCAAAAGTTTAGTAGGTTCAGTGCTTCCTGTGAAGGTATTTCTCCTATATGTTTTCTTTAGCAGTGTGGACTTCTTGTTATCATTTACAAATTCTTATAGAAACATGGTTTTGGTTACCGTTTAGTTCTTCGCATCCATAACTTCTGCCCCAAAAGTAAATGTTATGGCGAACCAGACATATAGTTTCATCAAATGCAATGCTATCTTTCCTTTGATCCATGGCCCTGCTTCTTTGGCTTCAGAACTATTGTGGATACGACTATGGTCTAACATTTTCAAAGCCGTCTGATTAATATATAGGTTGTTCAAGCCGACGAGGAGAATAGGAGGTTAATATTATCTGAGAAGCTCGCATTGTTTCCAAAGTATTCGCAGAGAGTTAGTGTGGGAGATGTATTTACAGGAAGGGTAGGTTCTGTTGAGGATTATGGTGCCTTTGTCCACTTGCTCTTCGACGATGGTATTTGCTGTACCAAATTTTGCCATTGCTTCTTGTTCTCTAAGGCTAGTATTTTGCTTCTCACCCGAGATATTGAATATCTATTGTAGGTCTCTATCATCTGACCGGGCTAGTGCATATCTCTGAAGTCTCGTGGGATTATGTTCAAGATGTCAGGGATGTGCTGCACGAGGGTGAGGAAGTTCGGGTCAAAGTCACTAACGTGGACCAGTGAGTTTCTTCTGCTTTTCAAAGCTTTTCAAGCCTTTCTACTTGAAGTGGCCATGTATGTCATATTTGCCGAGCTTTGAATACAGGGAAAAGTCTAGGATTACTCTGTCGATCAGACAACTAGAAGAAGATCCTCTTCTTGAAACATTGGACAAAGTGATTCTGCAGGTAAAAGACTAATCGATTTTGGTTATGTAGTTCTGTGCCATGCTTATGAATCAGCTCTCTTTGATGATCTTTCTTTTGGGTCTTATTGATTCATGATAGATGTGAAATATCACAGGACGGTTCCACTGGACCTGCTTCTCTAAGCTCGAACAACGGGGATAAAATTGATCCTCTCCTGGGGCTTGAATCAATACTCGACGAGTTATTGCAGGAAGATGGGTAAGAGTTGAGTACTCAACGGTTCATAAAATTGCCATTGCAATGTAGCATAAACTTATTTGCACATCATCTCCATTATACGGCATTGAGTGTGATCTGTCTACTAGTCTTTAATTCTCGAGGTAAATCATTTCTGTAATGGGTTCTTGTAATACCCGGCTAGTTTTATAATCTCAACATGGATTGAGATTCGAGAACGAGATAACCAATGAGTTCATGCAAAATGAATTTTTTTTTTGCGTATGAATGGCAACTCTATATTGCAGATATAGAATTCACTTGGCCTACAATATTGCAGAATAGAAGCCGTGAAGATAAACCGTCAAGGGTTTGAGAAACGGGTTGTTTCACAGGACCTACAGCTTTGGCTCTCAAATGTGAGTTATATATATGCTCTGGTTCTTGCCCGTTCTCCTACGTAACATGCTTGCAATATACTCATTCTACGTCCGGTGACTTCTCGTCCAGACACCGCCTGCCGATGGCAAGTTCGTCCTTTTAGCCCGTGCCGGAAGACAGGTAAATTTTGTATCACGAGACCCTGATCATAAAACCATCCAAAAAACAGCTGTTTGGATTTGTGTCTAAACATATTTCAGGAAGAAACATAACTCAGAATTCATTTCTGGATCCTTCATGCCCCTGAAGAGTTCAAAACCATAATGAATTTGATCATTGCATTAACATTCATGGTGTCTTCCACTGACACAGAACAAGCTTGAGAATTCATGGTTTTTTCATGTATATATATATACATATGCATACACATGTGTATATTTGGTGTGAATACAGCCTTGTTAACTCTTACATTTTCAGGTGCAGGAGATACAATTGGCAACATCTCTGGATCAGCAAGGGATAAAGAAAGCATTGCAGCGAGTATTGGAACGTGTCCCATGAACCACCACAGCTCCTACAATGGACCATATATATATAATACCCTGGTGAAGATGAACAGAAAATACATACATTTGAGTTGTATCTACTTTGTTGTAACTGTATATATATGTATGTATGTATGTATTAGAATTATTATATATGTCTGTTCTCTGGGATTGGTTACACCGATTTTGCTGTAATGTAAATGAAATACAATGGTTTCTGTATACAAAAGGTGCATAGATCAAATTTTCAGCTATTCTCCCATTTCAGACAAGATTATAGATAGAGTCATGTTGGGTTATATGGTGAAGGCTGTCATAACAAGTCGTTGTACTGTTCAAGATCTAACTTCAGACAGTCAAACTGCAATGTTATTGGCTTTGTAGAGATACTTTGTTTTTCCATACAACCAATTGTATATTGTCACTGAGAATATATTATACAAATGCTTACTATATTATACAATTATCCTGATAAAGTACATATACATACTGTACACCTTTTTGTCTTGCTTTTTCTTCCCTGCATTTTTAAATCATTTCAATTTTCTACCCCACAACTTTCTCCTCTCTCACCCGCCGCTTCTACTGAGCACATCTGCACATGCTCTCTCGATAATGCCAATATCAGTTTCG